AATGCAGCCGTGCGCTTCCTGTCTTGTTCACACACGATACTGGGTTGCCAAAACAGTTGCGTCCTGAAGGAACGAACGTCCTTTCGGTAGAGGCGATCGATCGCGCACGCAACCGGGGGAGTCAGGGAGCAGAGATGGGCTGGAAAGACACCGCGTCTGAAGGTGTCTTTGTCTTGGCGGTGGAGTGACACACATTGCATTTCATCGCAACCCATCATGCATGGCTCCTCAATATGTCCGAGCAACCCGAGCGACGAGAAGAAGGCCGTGTCTTCACGGAGCATCTAATGTTTTCTCAGTCCTTCGCAAGACCGGCGGAGCAAGTACGGAGAGACGAAGGAGCAGAAGCAAGAACAGAGGTGAGCTCGCGAAATCTGCCCAAGGTCTCGTTGAGGACAACGAAACCATGCACAAAAACCAAAATAGGAGTCGCATCTCGTGTCTCGTGACTCGCGACTCAGGGGCGCGAAATTTGTTGTCGCTTCTGCTGGCGCTGTGGTGTTATGCGAGAATATTTTGGTTTTTGCCTTTTTCCAAGGGCAGCAATGGTATTTTATCGTGGGTCCAACAGGTGATCTGATGATGTGCTTCGTCAGATCTGCAGGCACCATACCTGGATCTGGCGAGCCTGGATCTTCTACTGGTATCGGCGGCCATCTGCCGCTCTGGACTTGCTCATCCTGCTTGTTCACCGCGCTAGCTCTAACTAGCAGACACCCACCAGCCATGCAGCGGGCCACACAGCTAACTAATGGAGATACTTACCAAGTACCAGTAGATTTAAAGGCATCCCATCTAACTACTTGTACGTTGAGCAGTGTCGCGGGAAGGGCTTTCCGTGGATCGAATCTACTGTAGATAGGCCTAATCGGCGTCGCACCACTTTGTCAGGGGCATCGGCATCAGCTTACAAACGCACATTGCCTCCCCAAAATCTCGAGATGTCACAGAATCGAAGGACGCTTCCGACAATTTATCGAACTTCGAGCGAAGTACGGAGTGGGTGGGCTGTTGTGTCAAGCTGTACCAGTCGTCTGTTCGGGGAGGGAAAAGAATCAGAGTGATCGCTGCTCGCAGCTCGCACGGGTTGTGGAGGTCACGCTGTGCCAATGCAAAAAGTATCATTGCAAGCAGGCATGTTCGGTGTCGAAACGTCCGGTCAACAGTCCAACTCGGGGCGGCGTGTAAGATGCTTCGCCAAGTTCATATGGATTTGCTGTGACAGATCCGTCCCGCCAGATGTATTGCTTGAGTCGGCACGGCATTGAACGAGTCGGTCTTCGCACGGACAGAACGTTGACTCCGCGATTCATCTCTCAAGTCTTTGAGCTGCTCCATCTTGACCGAGTCATTGTCTCCGGTCTATGTCCTTGATTGTGTTCCGAAGTGGAGATGATTCAGGAAATTCATCGCCCACAATACACGGAGCGCAGTGGTTCGGAGCTGGGAGCTGCTTGTTCGGGCGACGTGCGTGAAGGTGTGCTCTGTGTGCTTTCACATTCGAGTTTTGTCCGTTTCAATTCCATTCACCGCACTCTGTCGTCCCCTGAAAAGGTCCTGGAGCTTTGAAGACACATTCGGAGCGATGCCGCGGGGATCTACTTGGACGAACTGGAGAGAACGGCGTTGCAGACCTGTGTACTCTGTACTTCATTTCGTGATCGATCTGCGGCCCAACGACTTAATGTCTTGGATAGATGATCTCGCTTCCTTCAGCATGCCGATGAAGTCGGAGAGGCGAATAAGCGTGCTGGTGCTGGCGTCGCAGGAGGGTCCATGTCGTTGAGGCATGATCGTGACAAGGCATCGCTTTCCACCTGTCTAGCCATGGGACTGGGACTGGAATGCAAACGCTATCGCGCATGGGTATGTGTTTACCAATGAAGACGGAAATGGCGAGACACGACCGCCGTCCAGTGGAGATGAAGGCCTCACTGCATATGAACGGGGAAAGGTGCGTGTCCATCTTCATAAACACCAGGACTACACACCGGCTTTGGTCGGATACATCACATCCCTCGGATGCCCTCGAGCATCAACAATGAAGAGCTATCCGGTTCACTTGTCAGATGTTTATCGTGTTCGTCCAGCATCGAATGCCGACTCCATGTAAGGACCTCTCTGGACCTCACCGAGAATTTTCTTGAGCTCAGCAACAAGACAGCACTCAGAATCCGTCCATCCAACCGTCCATGGGTTGTAAGGGCTTTTTCCATTTCAGCGTTGAGCGGTGTCGATTCTACCTATCCTTCTATTAACCCGAATTCCACTAGGTAGATTCTCTCTTCCTGTCTGGCACGCGTGCCCCGGTAGTTACGAGTCTGTACGGAGCACAAGCATGAGGAGCGAGAAATGTTTCCTAGAATTAGACTATCCCGTCTTTTTTCCTCCTTTTCTTCCCTCTCTTTCTTTCTGTCTCCTCCTGCTCGACACATGGACCGTTTTGCATACATAAACGCAGCGGTGTGGGAAGAAGAAAGAAACAAACAAACCGAAAAAAAAGGGCCAAAGGAAAGGCAAAAAAGAAATTTTTAGTGGAGATATCGGGGATGGAATTTCTTCTGGCTGCCAATCTTACCTACTTAACTAACCGATCCACACAACCCACTAACCACCTACCCGACTTGTCAGGGAAGCTTTACTACCAAGTACAACGAAGTATGCACGGAGTTCGGTGTGAGTACTTGTATTAAGGGATTAGCTAAGGCTCACTATCTTAGGCCTTCCATGTGCCCCTACCCAGGAGTTACATACATTAGTATGTACGTACGTACACACATGCACACGAGAAAAAGCAACTTTCTACGAAGTAGATCCGCTGTGTCTCGGGTCGCCGCTTGCGGCTTGCGAGAGGGCTTGTTTTCTAGGTCGACTAACTACTTGTTAGTACTCGGTACCTTGTAACTATTAGACCTTCGCGTTTCGCATTCGCACTTGCATTGGCGGCTTTCATCCCCCCCTTTTTTTTCTCTCTCTTTTGCTCACTTTACTTTCTTTTGTTTCCTCTTTGCCCTGGGCCTCCATTGTCTCTGCATAAGGCTGGGCCCACCTGCCTGTCTGCCTGTCCATCCACCTACCTATGTACCTACGTCCGAGTACTTCAGCTTACCCACTACGAAACACCCAAACTACCAAGTTCCGGCTCCCCGGCGAGCCACTTGTACACATGAGTAGGGCATTGATGGGGGCCTGGATGGTAGACTCCGAGTGGATTCCAACTAACTACTCAAAACCTCGTGGTGCTGGTATCTTAGCCATCTTTGTGGCTTCGCCGGTACCCGTACTCTGCGGAGTAAGTGTCCGTAGTAGGCGCGTACTGGATGGAAGTTCAAGATGAAGCGCTCCCCAACCCCGCAAAATCACCATTTCACCCAACCCAGGTAGCCCTCCATGCCTGAGTCTCCATCCTCGTCGTGGATTGCCTGACTGCGTACACGTTCGTACATTAAGGGCCTCTTGATGCACCTCATGCCCTACACACATATTAATACACATATGAGTCGCACACTTTGAAACTCAGGAACTTCTGGCTTGCATATTCTTGCGCAAGCAAGTGCAGGTACCCCGTAAGGTACTCAGAGTCATCAGGTCCTCCGTCCAAGAACATCATGGAGCTATCGTAGGTGAAAAGATTTTTCCAGTTATGCGAGATCGGGACCGATGCCATGGAAAGGCCCACCGCGCCCACGGCCCTATCCCCGTACCGATTGACAGCCGTATCCATGCCGAGGCTCGACGGTGAGCCGGCTGCGATGTACCTCGCTGTAAAGCAGGTACCTCGCCGCCGGTAACAAGAAGTTTTATCCGTACGACGACAACTCGGGGGGGAAAGGAAGGGCTGATGGTCAGGGATCCGGCGATGCAGATTCGCTTTCTTTCGCGGAGCACAAGGAAGGTGTTTTTGCCTACCTCATCTTGTGCTATGTATCTACTTTGTAGGTACTTAAACGAAGGTATATGGACTGCGTATGTATCACAAGGACGGTGTTCGTATGTCTCAGCCTTTTGAACGACGCCTCGTGTCTTTTCAGCTCAGTCTTTTCAACAGGTCCAGCTATCTCGCTATTCAGTTCTGTTTGCCCACGGTTTGCATTCCTTGCACTCGAGTAATTGTATGTACTGTACCCTGCAGAACCACGACATATTATGGCCAAGTACGGAGTACTCAGTCCGTAGAAGCCTCTCATCTTCCACCGTGGAGAGTTGAGGCGCCTTCCACTATCGCCGCCACCACTATCACCAAAGTCGGACCCCGAACCGGATATCGCCGCAGAGGAAGCCCCCAAAACCCAACAAGGAAACTGACAGCTAAACCATCCATCACGCCACAGACACTCCCCAATATTTCTCGGACGTTCTGTGATAATGGAAGATGCCATGCTATCCCATGCAGTGCAGCATCACACTATCTGTTACAAACTGTGTCCGAAGAATCATGGAAGGGCAAATCCATAATTGCCCCTCTCTGCGGCGGAAGAAAGTCGATGGCCTGCTTTGGCTTGCTTGCCCTTGCCCGTCCGTTGGTATTTTCGTAATTTAACAAGTAGAATCCAGACGCCGCTGTGTCTGGACCTATAGTTGTACGTGTATTTAGTACTTCGTATTGCGGATAGAGTAGGGCTCCCATTGACTTGCCCCGTCCTCCCTTGCCCCGTCATGCCTGGTGACCCTGGCGAATGACCCTGGATTGGCCCATGAGCTTCGAACAAAAAAAAAAAAAAAAAAAAAAAAACGAGGCTTGGCCATCACCCAGGTCGTGCGTGCGTTGAGCGCCTAGATTCTCGTTGGTTGGTCCTCCCTGCTTCTCCTTCAGGGCCATTTTCCGTGGCTTCGTTCACGAGTTGTTGCACCCCAAAACAGGCACGGAATAGGAGAAGCAGAAACATGTGCTTGCTTCTTCCAATCTTGTCTTCGATTGAAGCTCCGGCTTAGCTCTTTAATATTGGCATCACGCCATCTCGTCGTCTCCGACACATCTAGATTCCTTGGTCGGGCCAATCTCAACTGGTCCTTTTCCTCATCCTGGGTGACTTCCTGACCGCAGCCACTGATCCACTCCGTTCCTTTTCTATCCGTCCCGAGCTCGTCACATTCCCGCCCTGTCCTAGTCCAGAAATGCTGCATGAGGAATCGCTCCTTCCCTTGGAAGAATTGTATGCCTTCAGGATCGCCGTCTCGAGTGGTAGTGAAGAAGGATGGCACTCTTCGATGAGCATGGCCAGGTCGGGTGTCCGGGTCGCTAAGCATTGTAGCCGTACCAAAGCTTGTCGCTGACGCCGACGCATTGTGTATGATGATAATGCTTGTGCTTCGAGAGATAGAGAGGGACGGGGTGATGATGTAGCCACCATGGTGTCCAACATTGAAAGATCCCACAGTGTCGGATCGATTTCATTGGAGTCGTATGATAAGTCGGATACTGTTGTAGCGGGAGTATCTGGCCCTTCGCAATATCCTTCATCGTCAAGCGTCGTTGTGTCGGAAGGAGAAGCCATGTCACTCGGCGGTGGTGAGGGCGAGCGCATCTCTGTGTCGGTTAACGCTTGAGACTGTAGCTGTGCTGTCAATGCAGTAATGGAGGGATGCCGAGGTGTAGATCTGTATGCGTCAAAACGAGAATCTCGACGGGCCGCAGGCGCTTGTGAGGAGTGTGGCGAGGAGCACCGTGATGTGAAAGGAGAGATCTCTGTTGAGGTACATTCTTCAATATTGAATGTCAGGGAGTTCGGGTGCGGGGACGATCCGAAGGAGAAGTTCTCGTTGAACATCTTGGCTGATATTCGCCAGCGGCGCGGGTGGGATATTGTTCACCGAGACGAGACTGGGGAGAAAACGAGAAGGAAGATGTTCGAGATTCGATCGCGAGCGAGGAGATGAAGCTGGTTGTAAGGTGGGTTGGTGATAATAGTAAGACTTTAACCGCGGAATGGGGTGGGTTTCGCCGGTCGGCGGGTTCAGGTCACTCGTCCCAATAAACTCTGTTCCAGAAGAAGCCGTAGAGCGGGATCGAATGTACAGAAAGCGAACCGTGGGGTAGTTTTTAAATGTCGAGCATGAGCTCCCAAGCCCTTGCCCTTTCCCATCTGAGGTCTTTAGCGCAGTGCCACTGAGTGAGACTGAAGTATCACCCGCCGCCGCGAAGCCGGATTGAGGGGAGAAGTCATTTGCAAATCGGATACGGGCTCTGGAGCTGGGGTAGCGACAGGGTGGATCAGGGTGGTGGATGAGCAAAGAGAAAATCCAAGGACTATCCTGGGTGGATTCGTTCGCTAAAACTCGTGGGTGCCATCGTGTGTTGAGCGAAAGAAAGAGCGAAGATTCGACCCAACGCTACCATCATGTTGCGTGCCTCGTCCGTGCTTCTCCCGCTTAATCGAAGGGGCGATCGGATGGCGCGTTTCCGTGTGCGGCAACTCTTAGACGTTGGCGTGCTCTGGAGGGGCCCGCCCCAAGCCAGAAGAGGCGACGGTAGTCTTGCCGTGTTGCCTGGCTTAGGTAGTCCTTCACAATGCCCATGGCCCACTGGGTGGCCCGCATGGCCCTTGTCGATTTTCCCTTTGCCGAAGCTACCGCTAGAAAGCGCCCAGACAGCCTAGAAAGGCCCAGCTGGGTGTCGGGATGCCACAAAGAGGTGCTTTTGCTCAAAGACTCCGCACGCGAAGATCTTTCCACCCTGCCAGTTGCGACGTTGTGCCGTCATCGTTCAATTCTCGGCCGTTCTACTGATCAACTGGCGATCATTTCTCTTGTTTCATTTCCTTTTCTTTATGGCTCTTGAGCACAGGTCTTTTTACTGGGCGTTGCATGATCCGGCAGATCACAGGTCGATGATCAGAAGCAAGAACCAGGATTATGGCAAAGAATGCTCCGTGCTGTGGAGGTCGTGGGTGGCAACAAAGAGTTGGAGCTATTATTGTTTTATCGTAAATTGCCACCCCATTGCAACTGTGCATTGCCGATGCTGAAGGCAATCTTATCGTGCCGCAAAACCCTACGTAGAAACGCGGCGCCTCCTCGGCATGGACAAAAAGAGCAGTCCTCTGGAAGGATTCTCAGTGCTGCGTTGCTTCCGCTACCATATCAATGGCATCTGGTAATCCACGAGGAAGCAGATCCACGTGATGGAGTTTGCCGTGTACATTGGACTACAATACATCCGTTTGTCCAGGCCCTGCGGGCCCCATTTGACGTGCATATTGAATGGCGTTTCCCGAGCCAGAGATGCACTTAACTCGGCCATTTGCTGTGGATCTGTACGGGAAAGGTGTCCGTTGATGTATTCTCTTGTCGAGTAGAGTAGGGGTGAAACGTTGCAGATCTCGAAACAGGTGTCATCAAGCGGAGATTTGCCTAAAAGGAAGAAATCCGAATAGAGCTCCTGCAGGTCGCTCATAAATTCGTCCAACACCTCATCCACGGTACTGCTGGTGGTCGACGTGTGGGATGCATTCGATCTTGCGATCTGCTTGATCTTGGGCGTCGACCTGGGTGTGTTCCTGATTGATGATCGTCTGCTCCTTTCCTCATTCGCCAGATTCAGCCAAATATCCTCCGACGTCTCGTTGTTGGGTGGTCTAACCTTCTCTCGATCATCGGGTAACATGCAGCCGCCAAGAAGATCTTCGGCCGAGAGTTTGTAGCTGCGGCCAGTCCAACTCAGGTCTTTCCTCTCTTGCAACGGTGTCTGTACTTCACTTTCTATCGTGGATGTGTCAAGTTCGTGATCGAGCTCAGGAAGTGTCGCTGTGTCATTGATGAACTGGGTGACGTCGATTAGGCAGGCTAGCATGAATCGACTGCGACCACTGCTGGGAATGATGAGGGGTGTGAACAACACGAGGTGGGTGACTGGGTCGCCTGCAGCATCTTGACCCGTCACAATATCCATGGAAGCACCCTCACATTCACAATTGTTGAGGAAGAAGTGTTCGCCGACCTCAAAAATGTAGCGAAGTTCTTTGGACGTTGCAACAACAGGGAGTCCAGCCACGGCGGTGTCAAGAATGCAAAATGATTTGAAATGCTCAACCAATCTGAGGCCAGATGGATCGTCAGTCTCCTTTCCGGAGTCGGGCACGGATACAGAACTTGCTGTCGGTGACTGCAGCCACGAGACATGTTTGGTTCGAGCTTTGCCCGCTGGCGGCTGGGGATTCCTGAATGACGGCGGCCCCGCCTTGATTTGGCCAAGTACTTCACGCGACTCCTGAATGCGCAAAGTGGAGGCGCTGGAAATGGTGGAAAGTGTAGAGAAGCTGGCCATGCTTGCTTGCCGACTTGCAACCGACAGCAAGGAGGGCGACATGGCATCGTGGACTGCACGTTGGGGACCAGTCGAGGGGTGAAGGTAAGATTGGTTGAGATTGAATTGACTGAGACTCGTGGCGGGGAGTAGTGACTGACGCCCGGGCGATTTGGCCGGTGATACGTGCGTGGTTGATTGGAATCGATTGGGGATGGCGCGCGAGATGGTGTATTCCTCAAGACTGGATCGACTCCCGGGCAATTCGACAAAGGAGGAAAATGTGGTCGTCGACGGGGCAAATGAGCTAGATGATTCTGCTCTACGCAATATGCCAGACCCTAGGGAGAGTGTGCCAGCCTGAGGATCTGGTGATTTTCGTAGGGCTCGAAGAAACACGTCTTTGAGACCTTGCCTGAGTGATCGTCGTGGCGGATTGGGCGGCGGAGGTCGAGGGGGTTGAGACGAGGTTGGTCGGTGTTTGGCAGCCATGATGTGAACTCGTCGTTGGCTCTGATGTTGATGTTGTCGTTGCCCGGCGTTTCGGAAATTCTGTTTTTGCGGATTGTGACTGGGTTGACTTTAAAGATCCAGGCAAAGTGAGATGAGGCGAATATGAAAAGAACTCAATGTCAACAGAACCGGCAAGATCAACAGCTGTGACTTAGCACACAAAGACAAGCAGTTAGCCGTTCACCACCCAACGACAACTCGCATGCTGGCAGAAGCGACAGGCAGAAAGGGACAAAGAAGCGACCACCCAGGCATGAAACCAGAACGCCAACCAACAAACCTCTCAGATACTGCCGCAGATGGAGAATGGCTTTTGTGACAATCCTCCTCTACATGGTGAGCATGGGTTTGAGAAGTGGTCTACAAAGAATTGTCCGGACAGGAGAGGAAGAACGGCATTCTGCAAGTTCACGATGGACGAACTTGTGCGATCTGCTGCAGGGGCTCGGGGGCTCAAGGCACGTTGGTTTCCGGGGAACTCGGCTGCGACGACTTAGGGCCTAAACAGCTTGTTTCAGGTTTAGTACGCGACCCAAAATATCGGTATTGATTTGGTAGGGAGGCGGGGCCATCGGGATGAGACGAGGGACGTGTATCGAACAAGAGCTTTGGTTATTCAATATGGAGAAATGAGCAGAGTTGTTCTAGATGGATGTTCAGAACGTGTGGCTGTGAGGCTGTGAGGCTGTGAGGCTGTGAGGCTGTGAGGCTCACGGACAGGAGGGCACCAGGATTGACAAGGCGGACGTTTGAGATGGACGCTCCGTGATTGGCTCGACGGGGACAGTGCCAAGGGTGATAGAACAGTCCAGTGCCAGCTACACATAGGGAGCGACCTCATCAATTGAATACGATACGACCAACAAGATATTCGATATTTTCTATCTCTGTGTTGACATACGAGGTACATATTCAGAGACGTGCATGCAAAAATCGAAGGACGGAAGTAGGTTTTTCCGAAAAGGTCCTGGGCTAAGGTCCAGACCAATCACAAGCTCGCAGAGTCCGAGATTTTCCGGCCCATTGGATTTGGACGTTTGAAGCTTTTGGCCTCTGAGCAGCTTTGGCCCTTTTTTCACTCGGTCCAGTTTGACCACCGCAACTCAACACAATCATCCACTGCTTGAAAGGGTGCGCTGCCCTCCTCACCATCCCTTCTCTTCACCCATCACGCTCCATCAGGAGCTCCAGCAGCCATGTCGGCAGCTCCCACCTCCCGCGCCCTTCTCCGGCAGTCCAGATTCCTCCTGCGCCGAAACAATTTCAGACAAGCTTCCACCACCTCAGAGGCCGTCTCAAAGGCGCAAGAAAGCTCAAAGCAAGTCGTCTCGAAAGCGTCAGAAGGCTTGAGCCGTGTGACGAGCTCTGCCGGCTCCGCAATTTCTAAAGTCGGCTCTTCCGCCTACGGGGCCCTGAGCAAAGTTGGTGGAAGAACGGGAAGAGTTATTTCTTTTGTCGAATGTATGCTGCGAAGCGAAGCCTTCTCCAGAAAAATTTATGACACGTGTTGACTTGAATGCAGCATTAATACCGCCTACCATCTACTACTCTCGCGTTGGATGGGAGCTTGCAAGGATCGTCTTCAAGAATCAGCAAATGGCGCCTCCGTAAGTCTGGCCTGAGAAATAGTTATTTGTCGGCCACCTCTAATGACTTCCCCAGCTCTGTGGCCCAATTTCAGTCCTATTTCCAACCATTGATTAATGTCTTCCGGAATCCTGCATCCATCTCATCAAGCGCAAGCTCTGCATTCAAAGCCGTCAACCCGGACGCCGTCTTGGGCACCATTCGCAACGCAAACCGCAGTCAGCTAACCACTGTCGGGATCATCTTCGCTCAGGTAGTGGGTTTCTTCACGGTCGGTGAGATGATAGGAAGAATGAAGATAGTCGGGTACCACGGCGAACCGCATCATGAACATTAAGAGAAAGCCCCCAAAAGGATCGACTGCCAAACATTTGTTTGATGGCTGCGCCTTGTAATCTTAGGAGTTTATTACACGAAAAGACAGGT